AGTTACAGACAATCATTTGCAGCCCGTAATGCAGTATACTATGAAAGTGTCTGTAGCTGCCCAAGTGCTAAGCCACACGGTCGGGGCCTATTTATATTCAATGGCCAGCGTTGGTAATTATTATTTGCTGTTTAGTAAGGTATATTTAATTAGTCGGTCACTATTTTTTCTCCATAGGAGCCCTTGATCAAAGAGTGATAGCAACAGCTACTTTTTTAAATCATGTGGACACACTTTTTGACAGTTTTAATGGTAGGGCCGCTGCACCACCGGGTAAAATACTAAAATGTGCTGTGACAGAAGAATCACCACATTTGGAGTATTGGAAGCAGGCTTTCGAAAAGGTTAAAACGTGGCGGTTTCAGAGACGAACAAAAGCTGAAGGCATCAAATTGTCCAAGCCGCCGTCTCCGATAGGATGGCTAACGTCTTTAAATGCAGTGAGAGGTATATGGACCCATCTACACAAAACGGAAAATCTTCATTCTTTGCGCCCGAGGTCTTTGCTCTTGTCTCTGGTACCATCGTATAAACGGACGCATGGCTTGATCTATTCTTTGGACAGTGACGTGACAACTGCCAGAAAAGCTTATCACAGTTTCACCAAGAAATATCGTAGGCTACATGGGCGTGGTGGAAAACGCATCTCCATGCCAATCTGGTACCCCAGGTTCGAATCCTGGCCAAGGCGTAAAAATTTTCCCGCAGCGATACTTTGGTCACTTCGTAGAAAACATTGGAAGCAGACCCCAGTGTACCTATTCTTGACGACTAGGGAGTAGAACAGCCGAGAGAAGTGGGCGGGGTTTTATGACAGTCGGCAAGTTGAGAAATTCAATAATATTATAATGACAGTCGGCAAGTTGAGAAATTCAATAATATTATAATGACATGATAACTGAGGATGTCGATGATGCCATGGAATAAGTTGAGGTTCCAAAACATCCCTGGGACAAGATATCCTTTGATCTAACAGACCATAAAGTTGTAAGAAGATTGTTGTTTAGAAGTCCCGAAAATCTTTGTA